GCCCTGTGCGCGCTCGCGTGCGCCCGCGCGGCCGCGAGCGCGCACGACGCGCTCCCGCGAGCGACGCTCGAGGCCATTCGCTCGGGCGCGGCCGATGACGCGATTCGTCGCGCCTTTATCGGTGAACGCGCCCCGGGAGCGATGATCGTCACGAACGTGAACGCGCGGTACGTCGAGGCGCGACGAGAGGGGTTGACGCGACTGGCGACGTGCGCGAGAGCGACGGAGGCGGCGGAGGCGAACGGGTTGGCGCGGAGCGCGGCGTGGGAAGACGAACACGGCGGAGCGACGCGAGCGTCCATGGCGGCGTTGGCGCGAGAACGGTTGCGCGTGGATGTGGATGATGCGTGTGATCGAACTGGGAGGATGCGAGGGGATTTGGAGACGCTTCGCGACGGCGCGGACGTCGTCTCGCGTGAGACGCTGCGGCGGTTGGACGCGGCGTTTCACAACGCCACGGGAGGGTTTTTTGAGCGAAGCGCGCGATCTGAAATGAGTTTGGATCACTTCCACGCGTACCGAGCGCCGAGTACGGCGCACGATGCGGATGATGTGGAAGGTAAGCACGCGCACACGGATGTGGGCGTCGCCATCGTGATGACGCCCGCGTTGATTCTCGGCGAGAAGCGCGCCGCGGGTGGATCCAGAGGGTTGTTCGTCGGCGATATCGAGCCCGACCTTCCGGACGACGGGATGGTTGTCATGCTCGGCGAGGCCGCGCGCGCGTGGGCTCCGGGATTGAGTCCCGAACTCAGGCGGCTCATCAAGGTGCCTACGCACGCGATGAAACTCACGGGCGAGCGCGCGTGGTTCGGAAGAATGGTGCTCCCACAAAAGGATCACGTACACCCGACGATTGATATGTCGTTCGGGACGTGGCACACCGGGGCGATGAAGGTCGCGATGAGCTCCAACGCCGAAGCGGAAAGCGCGCGTTGGGCCGCCGTCGCATGTCCGTCACCTGCACACGAGGAAAGCGCTGCATCCGACAGTTTAGTCACCCAGACATCGCGACGAAGACTCCTCGCCGACGAAGGCTCGTGCACGGCTCTCGGGCAAAAGTATTGTTGGCACGCGTGCCAGGATCTACCGGCTGAGTGCAACGACACGTCGCTCGTGCAGTGCGTGGATCAAACAAACGGGCAATTGGTGTCGGGAGACCAACACAACGCCGTGCTGCGCTGCCCGGCATCGAATGCAGAAGGGTTTTGCAACACGGCCATCACGCCGACGACGATGTACATGGACGGATTCACGCTCAGCACGAAAAATACCTTCAAGCCGTGCGTCGCGCTGTTATTCAAGGGATGGTCCCTGCGCACGCCGGCGCTGTTGGCCCTCGGCTTCTTCGCCACGGTATGCATGGGAATGTCCATCGAGGCGCTGGCATCGCTCCGTCGCAATTTACAGAACCCAGGATTCTGCAACTGCCACAACATTCCCTCCACGAGGTCCCGAGCGTACGCCACGTCGGTGTACGCCGTGCAGATAACCTTCGGCTACCTCCTCATGCTCGTCTCGATGACGTATCACGTCGCGCTCTTCTGCGCCGTCATCGTCGGTCTCATCCTCGGCCACGTCGTCTTCGGCGCCAACGCCCCCGTCGCGGCGAACACGACGGCGTGCTGCGCGCACGCGTCGCCCAGCGACAAGGACGCGTGTCCGATGTGCGGTCCGTCCGCCGGCGACCTCGACGACCTCCCACCGTGCTGCGCCGCGCGCGCCACGGCGCCATCCGACTCCCCGAACGGTTCTTCCTCCGGAGATTCCATCAACAAGCCCCTGAACGACCGCGATCTCGAGCGCGGACGATCGTGACGCCCTCGCCTCGCGCTCGGCGTAGACGCGACGGGTCGCGTGAATACACTCCGACGTCACCCTAACGCGCCCATTCCATGAGTCATCACTCAAGAACACCCCCCCCGACCGGTCCAAGGCCGCCGAACCGCCGCCGCCTCGTCACTCCCTCGCGCTCGCTCGCCCGCCGCGTCGCGCGCGCGAGCCGAAGCACTCGGGCGAGGCATGGCGGTCGACGCGATGAACGCCGTGCGCGCGCCCGTCCTGAGCGACGACGGGACGACGCGGGAAGAGGTGCGCGAAACGGGACACGATGGTGACGCGACGCGGGAAAAGAAAACGCGTCGAACGACAAACGGGTGGACGTGACGACGCGCGCGCCGCGGACGCGCGCGGACGCGATGGAGGTTACGCGCGGAGAAGATGGTTTGGTGATGGATTTAGGACGGCGTCGCGCGGTCGCGATCGGTGCGCGCCGGGGGGGGGGTGATGATTACGATGATGACTGACGGAGGCCGACGGCGACGCGCACGCGACGTAGATGAACGCCGCGCCGCTTCCGAAGCGGCGGTTCCAAGCGAGGTATAGACGATCGGGAATGAGTTTTTCGGTGCAAGATCGTGATTTGGTCGCGGCGTTGGATAATATTAAGAACACGCGCGCGACGGCGGCGTACGGGAGCGCGCAGTACAAGAGCGCCACGGCGAACGCCGTCTCCGCGGACGTCGCGTCCGCGCTCGGGGTGTACGTCGGCGGTCTGGCGCACACCGTCGGTTTTAAGGACTCTTTGCAAAACGAGCCCGACGCCGAGGAGCTTCCGGTTCCTGAGCAACCGAAGGAGTTGACGCTCGCGAGCGTGTACGACGCGTTCGCGGTGGAGCCCATCGCGTCCAGGTGCCTGGCCGATGTCCACGCGCGAGCCGCCGAACTCGTGGAGAAGCACTGTCTGGAAGAAAACTTCTGCATCGTCGACTTGGCCACGGTTAAAGCCCTGTTCGATTATCACAAGGCGAAGCTTCCGCGGGTGCGACCGCACTTTGCTGTGAAATGCCTTCCAGACAAAGGGATCATCTCAACCCTCGCCGCCCTGGGCGCCGGGTTCGACTGCGCCTCTCAGGGCGAGGTCGAGCTCGTGACCTCCCTCGGTGTACCGAGCGAGCGCATCATTTTGGCTCATCCGGTGAAGCGACCGTGCGATTTGCGCTGCATCGCCGAGTACCAAGTTCCGTACACCACCTTTGACTCTGTGTCCGAGCTTCACAAGATTCTCGCCTCTCAGGTTGACGTCAAGCTCGTCTTGCGCATCCGGGCCGACGATCCCATGGCTCGTCTTCCGCTCGGCGCCAAGTACGGTGCGCCGTTGGACAAGGTCTCAGAACTTCTCTCCGTCGCTGCCTTGCTCAACTTGGACATCGCTGGAGTTTCCTTCCACGTCGGCTCGTCCTCACGCAACCCTGACGCGTACCGTAACGCCATCAAGTACGCGCGCGACATCTTCGATGAAGCCACGTCGATGGGTTTCAAAATGCACCTATTGGATCTTGGCGGTGGCTTCACCGGCTCGTTCGACGCGAACGGCAACGTCAGCGAAGCCCCATCCAACTTCGATCGCGTGCGCGAAGCCCTCGATGAAATCTTCCCGGATGACGGCACCTTTGAAGGTTTGCAAATCATCGACGAGCCGGGCAGATATTTCGCCCAGGCTCCGGTCACGATGGCGTGCCTGGTCTACGGTAAGCGCGAAGGAAGCAACGACAACGGTGAGCGCCAACTTGACTATTACATCACCGACGGCTTGTATGGTTCCTTCAACGGCATCATCTACGATGGCCTCGACTTGCCGACCTACTTTTTGCAACCGAACAAGGTTGCTCCGCTCGCCGGCCTAGAAAACGAGTTCGAGAAGACGAAAATTTCTTCCACCGTTTACGGTCCGACTTGCGACTCTCTCGACTGCGTCATGCGCAACGTTCCACTTCCGGAGCTGTCCAACGGAGACTGGCTCATGTTTCCGGACGCTGGCGCTTACACGATGGCGGGTGCGTGCGATTTCAACGGCATCTTGTGCTCTAAGTATCACTGCTTCTACGTGAGCAGCGAGAAGATGTGCGCCACGGCGACGCCAAAGGAACTCAACGAGCTCGTTTACCAAAACGACCGTCCTTCATGCACTTTGGTTCAGAACCGCTAATACAATAACACGGGGCTGAGCCTCGCATCCGTTTTGTCTTTCATCTCCTACACATCGTGATGAAGAGACAATCAAAACCAACCTATGGCTTCTGTGGAAGCATATGCAAAGTTCAATTTCTCGCGCGCCAGTGTTTTTGAGAACTTTTGCATCAAGGCGCGCTCAACGGTCGAGCAGCATTTGCTCGGGATGCGTATGTACCAATACGAAACGATGTCCACTGTACATGAGATGAACGATTAATCCACCGCTCTAGCAGCTAGTCAGCAGTAAATAATAACGACACTCATGCCCTTCACTTCACGCGAACGCCCCTTCGCCTCGCCTCTGCTCGGAACCCTCCGCCGTCGCCGCCCTCGGGTTTGCGCGACCGCAGACCAAGCCTCGCTCGCCACGACTGCGCATCGCTCGCGTGTAGCGCGTCACAAAGAGACCGTAGACGACTCATTCGCGTGTACGCGCGCGCCCGCGATCGCCGTTCGTCGTCGACACGCCGTTTCGGATCGTCGCGAGAGAATTAATCCAACCGAACGTTTCTGCACCACATCACGCGCGTGTGGACTCACGGGATGGATAAACGGTGCGTGAATCGAGTGACGACTGGAGCCATGCTCGGTGGTGCCGTCGGTGGCGCGGTCGGGGCGGTGTACGGCACGTACGAGGCGTTCGCGTACAAGGTTCCGGGCTTGCTCAAGGTGCGACACATAGGACGGGCGACGGTGACCTCGAGCGCGCTGTTCGGGCTCTTCTTAGGGGCGGGGTCGTTGTTACAGTGCGGTAGACGATAGGTCGATCGCCCGTGGAGGCGTTGTATGATGATGGTTCGCTATAGATGATTCGACGAAAGCGTCGCGTCTACTTTCCCGCGCGCGCGGCTTCTTGGCGCGCGATGAAATCGGCGTTGATCTCGCGACATCTCGCCTCCTCGCACCCCACGGCGACGTCTATACCCGCGTCTAACAGAGTTTGGATCCCACCGCCCGAGACTCTGGGATCGGGATCGACAAATCCAACGACGACGCGCTTGACGCCCGCGTCCACGAGCGCTCGCGCGCACGGCGGCGTCCGACCAAAGTGATTACACGGTTCCAGCGTCACGTACGCCGTCGCACCGCGCGCCAACTCCCCCGCCGCCCGCAGCGCGAACACCTCCGCGTGCGGCTCCCCCGCTCGCGGATGAAATCCTCTGCCCACGACGACGTCCGCGCGCGGGTCCACGACGACGCACCCGACGAGCGGGTTCGGGTGCACCTCTTCCGCCGTTCTCGACGCCGCCGCCTCCAACGCCTGACGCATGTACTCCTCGTCCCTCGCGTCGTGCGTCGTCAGCGCGCCTTTCGTCTCGCTCGCGCTCGCGAAGCGTCGAAGCGCTCGTCGCGAACTCGGAACATCCACGCGCTTCCCACTCGCGCTCGCGCTCGACGCCCGATCGCACCGCGCGCACGCGCGCGGGGTGAACGACACTACGCCGCGCGTCATCGCCGACGCACCGTCGCGATGCGCGCGAGGAGCGCGCGACGCCGTGTGCGGATGCGATGACGCGATGCCGCAGACGTCGACGCGCTCGAAGCTTCATGTCCGCGGACGCGAAGAAGCTCGCCGCGAACGCGCGGGCGCAGATTGAACGCTTGCTCACGCAGCTCGCCGATCTGGAGACGTTCCGAGAGGACTTCGACGAGGAGGAGATTCAAGAGATCAAGGCGCAGACGCTGGAACAGTTGGAGGCGTTCAGGGCGTCGTTGATAAAATTGGATAGTGGAAGCGTGGAACTGCGGGATGAGATGCAGATCATGCGAGACGCGACGACGGCGGCGATCAAGGCTGCGTTTAAGACGCCGGAGGTGCTCAGAATGTTTGTGATGAAGCAACCCGAGGCGTTGCGGGAACGCTTGAGACGCGCCGAGCGGGACGCGCAGTTGGGGAAGATGACGGCGGAGGGGGCGAAGACGGAGCGGGTGGAGGTTTTGACGGCGCTGAAAAAGTTGGGGGCGCCCTTGGAAGATGGAGAGTTAGAGTTCTTGAGGGCACACATGACTGCGGGATTGGCAGACTTTGTCGAGGAAAAATAGAAACCGCGTTGTAAGATGACTTTGGTTGAGCGAGCGTAATATTGCATACAGCGCGTGATTAGTTTTGTTTCTAAGGCTGAGGGCGCGCCTGGACGATGTAGATCTGTCCATCGGGAAGGATGCAACCCTCGATGTCTTGGGCGAGGAGCTCGTCGGAGCTCGGACTGAGCTCTCGCTCGAGCATTGAGCCGATGTCGACAAGTTTACCCACAATGTCCTCGCGTTTCTTGGCGTCAGTTTGAAGCCAGTGAGTAGTGTAATTGGCGGCAACGGATTTCATACCCGATGGAGACTCATCGTCGCGTACGAGTGCGGTTCCGAACGACGCGAAGGCGTTCACCGTGGCTCGTCGGGACTCTCTGTCAACGCTGACACGACAAGGCGTACCGCGAACGGCGCCGGACGCCAACGTCTCGCCGAGCCCGAGAGCGAACTCCAAGTACGCCGATTTCGGATCGTTCGTTAGCGGGTGCTTGGTGTGAAGCACGAAGCTGACTTCAGGAGAGAGCATCTCTTGCACGAGCACACACATGTTCGCCTCGAGGTGGTCGATGCCAGCAGCGGCGCGAGACGCGACGGCTCTCGTCGTGTACAGAGAAGCCCAAACGTCAGCAACGGCGCGCCCGAACGCGTCTTCATCGTGCAAACTCACGTTGGGGATAGAATCGTACAAACCAGCCGCGGACATCCCTTCGAGATCTTCGACGTTGGCGCTGCTTCGCACCATGACTCGCGCGTTAGGCCCGAATTTCTGCGCAGTGACTTGGAAAGTGCCTGAAGACGGTCGAAGTCCTCGAATGAGAGATTGTATCGCCTCGCACGTTTCACGTATCTGTTCAGGATCTTGTGTCATCGCGTTCAGACTGTGGATCATCCCATCCAGACGTTCAAGATCGCCCACACTTGCAGCGGCATACTCCATTGCGCCGAAAGGAATGACGACTCCCGCCGGAGCCGCAAAGGGGTGTGATGATCGAGCGGCGATCGAACTCAACCGAGCGCACATCGCAGACTTCGTCCCCGCGATACGAATGGAATCTTTGAGACCTCGCTCGTCCAAGTCCACGAGACTGAGAACCGTCGAAGCGCGAGAGAGATCAGCGTCGAGGTGAAGCGTGGGCTTTTCCGATTGCTGAGAAACTGCAGTGTCCACTGTCACTGTTTCGTTCGTCTCCTCGAGTTTGATGGTCGACGCGTTCGCCGAAAGCTTAACAGTTGACTTATCCAACAGGGAACGTGCATGGTCGACGAGATTCTCGTCTTCAACGGCGATGAGAGGAACTTGCGCTTGTCGTGCACGTAGCGCGAGATGACTGAGATGAGGCAGAGCGTGACAGAGCACGATACCACGAACGTATGGACCGCACGTCGACACTTCCTCGTCGCCGTCAGCGTTTGCGACAAGTAAGATCACGGGCTCTTTGAAGCTTGCACACTCCTCGGGAGTGAGACGCATGACGCTCTTGAGCGTCCCGATTGCTTCGCCTTGAACGACGCAATCCCAGCCGGCGGCGCCGGTGATTCGTCTACTGACTCGCAGCAACAGCGAGGCGAACTTAGCCGATTGGAACACGACGCTCGCTCGAATTTGTCCTTCCGTAAACACGCTGACCGAATCTCGATCGATGCCGAGCGCATCACCAAGACTCGAGGCTCGACCATCGAATAGAGATTCAAGAAGCGAGCAAAAGTCGACGGCAGCGCGACGTGCGCGTTCTGCGATGGCTTGTACGCGTAGACCTCCTTCCTCGCCCTCAGGTAAGCCTTGATGTGCCAATACCTCTGCTTCGGATGCGGTCGCTTCCAATTCGTGGTCGCCGCCAGCGCTTAAAGCCATGATTCGAGAGGTCAAGGCGAGAGCCTCGAGAGCCAGTTTCACTTCACCTGCGCTGATATCGTTCCTTGGAGGCTCCGCTTCGGCACCGAGCGTGTTGAGCAAACGACTCAGGAGTACGAACGCATAATCTTCCATACTCACTTCGGCAAGGCGCCATTGCTGGCGCATAGACGCCTGCGCGTGCTCCAGATCTCCACCTTGCTCTAAAGCGGCGCAAATCTCCGTTCGAGCGCCGTGTAACGCACGCAAGCACTCAACCAAAGTGCGCATCATGGCTTGATCGCCGATGCCATCGCTCTGAGGAAGTGCGTCGACGTTCAACTTTGCGGTAAGAAACGCCTTTGACGCTTCCGAGGCCCGACCAGGCGCTCCGTTCTCATTCGCGATGCGATCGATGCGATCGGCGACGGAGGATGCGTTGAAGAATTCCTTGAGCTCGCGATAGAAAATCTTGAACTCGTTGACGAACTCTTCGGGGTAATCTGTGCCCGGTGCGGTGAGCTTTGCGAGCATGGCTTCCGTGGCGACGAGATCTTCGGGACCTGCGCAGCGATGGAGCTTATTCTGAATCGTGTGCTTGATTTCTTGTCGGACATCTCGGCACTTGCCGTTCGTATCTCCCTTCCCGTGCGCGATATCTCGAATGCGAGTCAACGGCACGCTCTGCGTGAACTCAGCGGTGAAAGCCGGGAGACGCGGGTGTAAACGACGGATGAGCGCGCGAAGTTCGCGAGCGCGATGATGATCGCCACCGTTCGCGATTTCGTGGGCGCAGCGCTCCGCGGCTTCAATGGCGCCATACATGCGCTCGGCGGAACCGGCGTGATGGTTCGGTCGGTAATGCGTGCCGTCTTCGACGCACATGATCGCGCCGACCGAAATCCAGAATAGATAGACCGTGACGTACGCCAGTGAATCGACGTCGGCACCGTTGTCACACAAAACCTTTTCAACCATTTGAAGTTTTTGACGCCACGACGAAGAATCTCTGTCTCCCTCGACGATTCGTCGAGCGGCGTCCGCGAGATTATCGGTGTTCCAGCGAAGGTTGCGATCGCCGTATCCACCCTTGTGCCTCTGTAACTTCACTTCTTGTCCTCGCCATTGATTCAAAGCTGCGAACTGCACATCCTCTACTGGCTTTGCCGACGGCGGCGGCGGAGGAGGAGGAGGATCTTGCGCCTTCACCTCCTCGCGCTCCCGGCGTTCGGCGCGTCCTTCGTCCTCGGGAACCCGTTCTACGAAGCGCGTAGCAAAATTATCCTCCACTGGGATCGTGATATCTTCCCCATTCACCTTGAACCACACCTTGCAATCGCGCGTCCGAATGAGAAAGACGATTTCGCACACATCCTCCCGACGCGCCTCGACGTCAATCTCGATCACCTGCCCCCCCCGTCCGTCATCCTCGAACTTCGATTCACACGATCGATCATCGGGCGCGCGCGACCCGTTCGGCACGCGCTTCAACGCGCTCTGCGGCGCCACCCACTCCCCGCCTCGCCGCGTCCGCGCGCCCCAGTGCAAGAGCAACCCATCCGCGTCGCTCCCTC